AGCCAGCACAGACGAGGCGGAGCTTATAAGGCTGAGTTAGTCTGAAACTCATCAGACTGAAGAAGTCTCTTGGAGGAGAGACGAAACGTTTCACTAAAGAAGAACCCATCCAGAGGACCTACTTATTTTTTTCTTTTTGATTTTTTCTACCTGGATTACTGAGATGCATCAGGACCTTTTCTTTTGAACTTTGCTCTGACAAAGTGAAACAGGAAGTGACATCAAATGGGAACACTTCAAGAAATAAAACTGGTTTTTGTTCATTAAATAATATTTGAACTCTGACACTTCCTCATCTTTATATTATAGTAATTAAAATAACATCAGATTCTTTACAGTCTGTGTTGTCGACCTTTGTAGCAACACTGTTTACATTCAGACATTCCCCTTTGACATCACTTCCTGTTACTTCACATGCAAATATCTCAACAACTGTTCATCTCAGCAGCGTGAAATATTTTTTACAATATGTTGTCAACCTTACCTTTCCAAAAATGCATTCATATTTATTACAAAAATTGGATTGTCACAGGCACTTTAAATAAAGCACAGAATTTGAATGTTTGTGTTAATCTCTCAGCCAGACTCGCTCATCGGGTGAGTTTGGTTCAGATTTATTTCTGTAATCTGCATCAGAATAACATGGAATAATTTTAGTAAAGGTTTCTGGAAGGTTGCTACAGTTGTTGGAGGGAAAACATGAAAACATCTGGAGCAGAGGCATCCCCAAAAGCAAAATATGTCTGGCCCAGTTCTGGCTCAAATTGACACTAATTTGGAATGTCGGCCCTTTGTTGGCCCATATGTGGTTTGTCAGAAGTGGTCCATGCGTGGGCCAGCACCACAGGGACCGGGACAGTTGTGGCATCTTAAAACAGTGCCATCATTACCAGAGCTGGCCCACGCCTGTTTCCTATGTGGGATAATGGGTAAATACAATCTTTTTTCTCGTTAAATTAATTTTAGGATTGAATAAACAAGCTGTGAACTCCAAACTAAAGTAAAAAAGTGTAACAGATCATGTTTTTACTTTCACCGGCATTAAGAATGGTTAAAAATAACTTTAATGGCATTAAATCTGATTTCTGCAGAAACCCTGAATAAACTTCATGATTTAGATTTAAAAGTTTTTCACGTCGTTAACAAAGAGTCCAGAAAGTTTTTATCATGTTTCTGTTTGGACGAAGTTTACATGTAAAATTACAAAGAAAAAAATWGTATAGGTCRTCTGGACGGGTTCTTCTCTAATGAAACGTTTCGTCTCTCCTCCAAGAGACTTCTTCAGTCTGAGAGTTTCAGGCTAAATTCAGGCTTTTAAGCACTGCCTCCATGTGACTGATACTCACATCACATGGCTATCGTTGACACCTAATTAACACCTGTTGTTAACAGGGGGTGGAGTGATACGGGCAATAGCAGCACTGTAGGAGGGGGACAACTGAAAACGGAGGCCTCCACCTCTGTTTAATGATGGACGGTCTTTCTTCACAAAAATGMCTTCTTTTACTCCTCTCTCAAACCAACGTTCCTCTCTATCAAGAATGAGAACATCCTCATCTCTGAAAGAGTGACCGCTGGCCTGTAAATGAGTGAAAACTGCAGAGTTCTGGCCATTAGATGTAGCTCGTCTGTGTTGGGACATTCTTTTGAACAGTGGCTGCTTTGTTTACCCGATGTGTATCAGTCACATGGAGGCAGGGCTTAAAAGCCTGAATTTTGCCTGAAACTCTCAGACTGAAGAAGTCTCTTGGAGGAGAGACGAAACGTTTCATTAGAGAAGAACCCYTCCAGAYGACCTARACAATTTTTTTCTTTTTGATTTTT